CAGGGATATTACTAGTATGCAGTAGATAGGGAACCCAATACTGAATAATTGGGATAGCAAGTGAAGTGCTGGCACCTCTCCTTGATAGAGTAGGATATTCGAAAATATAACCAATGTATTTAACCTCATAATCTTTTTATTTAAATATATATAACTATTGTATTTTAGAATCATAACCGTAGTGTTTAAATTTATAGCTTTTTATTTGAAATTATAATTACCATATGTAATCATTGTATTTACTCATTTGAAACTATGTATTTTGTTATATTAGAGTGTATTTTACTTGCATAACAATTGTTGATGTATTTGACGTGTGAAATATAAATGTGATGACATCCTTGGTATTGGAACGGTATGTTCGGAGAACATGCAGAATGTAAAACAGGGGGTTGTATCATGATTTATATTTCAGTCAGTTTGACAGCGGTTGCCATGACATATACTGATAAAGGTTAACGACAAGACCAGATGGCGAGCTGGTCGAAATCAACCAAAAACATCTTATGACTCTGCAGTTTTTAAGATACAATACAGTAGCTGTAATCCTAAACCAATTTTGTTTGCGATTTTAACTAAGGTGGTATCTTTGTGGAATGTTAGTGCGAGACTATTACCCCATCAATATTAGTTAGTGTTGACAATATATAGAAGTGTTTTTTCTAGACAGCTTGACGAGTAATTAATTGGTTATGATGTGTAAAACTTTCATGTGATTGGTTGTTTGTTTGAAGGCAAGGCCTTGGAGTCTCTTATACTGATTGTAATTGGTTAAGGAGTGACAAGAAATAAAGAGTGATTTAATGCTGTCTCGGGTGAAAACCAGGGACTTGGCAGAGAATCGTTTGGGAACATGAATGAAGCTTGTGTGTTTTTGTCAGCCTAGCGTGGAAACGACCGAATCCCGGTTACCTAAGTGAAAGGTTTTTAACCATCAAAAATACCTATCACAGTACACTTGTAAACGACGCAAAGGTAGACATCATACACCATTGTACTCGGAACATTTATATCGATATAACCTTGCATTGTGACCTCCAGTGGTACTTCCCTTGTACTGAGATTCGTCAAAAACACTGAACACTTCAGAACCGCAACAAACCACCACCATCTCTGAATACAATTTTTGCAATTTCCATGTATAATTAATGTGCTTGATTTAAAAGAGGTCAATTATGATCAATGTTGATGTAATAATCATTTTTAGTTGATCAATAGACCAATCTTATCTGACATAATTATTATTGGCTTGTTCATACAAGAAAACATAATTATACACCGAAATTGTCAAAATCGGATCATTTTATGAGTTTTACCCGTTCCATATTTTCGGAAATTGCGATGTAACGCAATGTCAAAACTGGGTAAAACTATATATTTTCGAACTCGTCAAGATGAGTAAATTGATATTCATCTCAAAAGGATTGGATCATTTTTTAATTTGACCCAAAAATAGCCACAAATTTGCCGAAACTGCACTTTTCTATCCATTTTTCTATCTTCTATGCAGCTATTGCGTGGTTGTAATTAAGCTTGTTTGCAATATGCACTCATATTGGTAAGCGTATGGCAATCCACAACAACACAATAATGGTTTGTATTCATATTGAATCTTCCACTATATAAATAGTATTGTAGTTTGTAGTTTTTTGAGTGGCGTCGCATCCTCTTCCAAGTGTGAAGCGTCAACCATGTTATTTTGATTAAATTTACCTTTAAACAAGCTGGCTGCGTGTAAAAGTGTTAACATGGTCATATAGGAAAGGATTGTTGTAATTATGTAATTTATAAGAGATGAAAATATAATTCGACAATATTTGTCGACTTTTTTCATTGTATGTTGATTATGAAGTGTTTTCTCGCGCATCGTACGCTATGTTCCTGTCTACACACGCTGGTGTAAGAACATTTAAATAAAAACAACTTAACCCTTTGAGCAACTTACTTCCAATACACGTTTCCCTCTAAACATATATATATATATATGTATATTATTCATAATTGCGCGTAGTGCCAATGGATGAACATACACTGAAAGTATCCATGAAGACATTTATATCCAATCAAATACACAAGTCTTTTACAGCATATTGGTCGCGTAATTTTTTTTATCATCTAAAATATTACATAGACTTCCCTCGAATATTGCTTTACATAATTTGATAATTTGTATAAAATAGATTACTTGCATCCGTTCCAGAATCTATAGAATGTTCCAATTGGTGGCCATGCTTTATTTGTTAGCACAGTTATTGATTTGATAACACGTTTTAGAAAATTGTTTATATTCTTCTCACAATTATGACCACATAAATTAGCATATATGGGAATTGCAATATTTTTATACACAAATCAGTATTTTTTAAAAGATCTAGTATAAGTCATGTGACCTGATACATTACCCTGTTTTTACTAATTTTGACAAATTATATTTTTATTCCCATTTTGAAATTCACAATAATCAACCAGTACAATAAATATGCCAACAATGCAGTTCATAGACTTTTTCTGGGGGGGGGGGCATATAAAAATGACCTAGATCTATTAGTACTAAAACATTAAAACAATTTCTTTTAGTAGTATAATATAATTAAAATGATTTTTTATGCTATGAACAGTTAGCATTTCCTTAGTCGCTTATAAAAATCTGTTCATGACTAATAATGGTACTTACTTCCCCCCACACGTAGAGATGAGTTATATAAAACATTGTTATTAGATTATCAGTATATGTCAACAATAACATACAGTGAATTGAGAAAATTCTAAATGCCTACTTTGGCATCATATTAATTAACAATTGAACAAATAAATCAGTGAAATGAAAATGTTTGCTGCGACTCGTAATGCTGCTATATGCCAAACCAATCATTGGGGATAGACAAATTAGTGTAGTATTAGTGACTCATGACTAAAAGAGCGATGACTCTGAGATAAAAAAATTGTAATAATGGTTTATGTAATTAGTTTTTAAGTATATAGATTAAGTATATAGATGTTAATGGAAGGTAAAATCATCGTTGTATTAAACGCTAGAAGATGTGTGCTGAGTTCTTTTGATGATGTATTTCAGCTTGTGAATAGTGGATGCTGCAGTATAATTTATAACAGGATGGGGTGTTGATGGCAGTATGGTTTAATGATGTCATTTCTATTTCAGTCTCTATGATACATATTTTGTATATTGCAATCTTAAGAAACGAATTCATATTTACTATTTTTGCTAGAAAGTAAAAATAAAAAAATCTGGCACATGATAATATCAGGGATAATGCAAGATCATGTTTTGTGGTGCGCTGCACGATCCGTGGTACATCGTGGCCATTTCACAATATAATCTCATCCATACAATTAATTAAATAAAAATTTAGTATATTAGTCTTATTTTTGACTCGCTGTTAACATAACTCTGTACAATGGTATTGGTTATATATGAATTGGGTGCCATAGGATGGTACTTGATGGCCAACCAACCTAATCAAATATGTATTTTGCATTGTACGAGTACAAAATAAGTTATTTAGGAAATTGGGATATTAGGATATTAGTACCAGCTGTTTTATACGCATGCGCATTGGCCGATCCTGTCAAATATCGTCATCTGTTTTGGGGCGTGTCTGGTAGATGTGAAATTGCTTCAGCCATTGGGTAACAGAATTACTCAGTGTCTGTAAAAACCGCTGTAAAGTGGCAGTAAAATGGATTTGCGCGGTTTTTGCGCTGCCATTTTCTGAATGATTTTGGAGCAGCAATGGAAGCCGACCATTTAATGTCGTTTCCTTATCCAAGATTGTCAATGTATTTCAATAGAACCTTTCTAAGGTAGTGCTGGTACATAAATATTATTTATTCAATTAAGAAATAAAGTGTTAGCACGTCACCACAATCTCAATAAAACACACACCCCACCGATTTATATACTAAAATTGCATTCATTCATTAATAAAATAAAAGCAAAAATTTATTTTGCCGATTTGATGGCCGATTATGTAATAACAGTTTTGCAGTTGAGTAAAGTACGTTTCAACTAGGTAGAGTGTGGCATGTTTTAGGCATACAGTTTAGATATTATTTATATTACAAAATTCTAAATAATGTATTAATATGTAAATATGTAAAAGTGTGACTGTTTGCTGTAGATACATGATTTGTAGAATAATTTTCATCAACCATCCAAATATCACTGCTCACACCTTATAATGGTTTGTATTCTGTGCTCTGTTGGTTGTTATCCACCATAGCCCATTTCTGGACGTCAACTCTCAATGTTACGAGAAAGACAACGGCACCAATAATATTTACTATTGACGCAATCCAGCAAACAATCTGCCATCGAAGAAGCAAGTTCTAGAAAACAGTAATAACAAAAATAATGTACGCACAACTGTTACCACGTCTTTAATCGACCGCCAATAACGTTCCAGATTATATCTCAACTGCCTAGCTGGCATAATACAACATAATTGAAAAGGGAACGCCTATAATATTGGCTTACAATATTGGTATGTGAGAATTTGTGTAAATCGTATTTACGAACTAGGTTACCTTATTATTGTTTAGTGCACCAATAAGAGCTGGAGCAAGAAGCCCACTCAAACAACTTATAAAACTGATCACCGAATAAATAACGCCCCCATAGCTCGGAGCAATTTCAAAGACATTCACTTTGAATGCTGCAGAAGAAGTGCCAGAAAATCCCGCTGATATAGCTACTAGTGACACGGTCAATGCTTCATTACATCCAGTGTATGCAACGATGATCAGCAGTGCAGCAGGAAGAATCATACCTAAAGAGAAACACACATGAAGCTCACCAGTGATCTATCTTTTCTTGAAGTTGTATGAATGAAATTTGGACATTGAGAACATATTTAAAACAATCAGAATCGCCGCCATGAAAGACGATATTGTTTCGTTTATATTTTACAAACATACGCAGCTGACGCCACTGCCAGCCGTTAGTAAACAATGACAGTTCGCTAAATTTATAATTTTAGGTAAAATAAAACAGCGCTGCAAGACAAATCAGGTATACACAGATATTAACAAAAAAACATTCAACAATTAACAATAATTCCATGTAAAAACATTAATTTACATACCAAACAAAAACGGAGATGGATAATCGCGAATTGTTGGAGCAATGATATTTTCAAGCTCGTGAAATTCAACATCGTGAACACAACTGACAACATAGATTTATAGTTTCAAAAAAAGTAAAAATCACTATTTCTTTTGTTTATTTTCATTATTTCTGTTAGTAAACACTACTTTCAAATGCATAAAAACATCATGATAGTAAACATTTATTCTGATTCTAGGAGGTGACTGAACACAGGCTTGAAATAAGCCACATTATTTTTAGAAAAGTGAGTATTTATTCACTGTCACCATGCTTTTTAACGGCGGCCGTACTCCATAGGAGTTGATTTATATGAAAGAAATGTTGAGCCATAGTATGGAGACTATATCACATTTGTATATTGATATCAGTAATTGCCATTGATACGAGGCAGGCTGTATTGTATTATACTCGTATACGGCGTCCTACATGTTTATGAACAACATTTCTGAAGACACTTGCCTTTAAAGTTGTTAATAATTGTCTTAAACGTGTTAGTGGTAGCGCTGATATTACCAGCAACTATTTTTTATTAAAGTGCGATTGCAGAAAAGCGATATATTTTTTGTATTAGTGGAGTATGGTCAATTAAAGAAAAAAAAACTATCCTAATTTTGGTTATGATATGACATGATACACGATACAATTGTATTTAAAAATATAATCAGTGAGACTGTTTGTAATGGAAAAACTGGTTATGCCCAAACATTTGACTGATAACAAGTTCGTTCAGTATGGAGATATTTAAAAATATCAATGTTATATTACAATGAGATTAATGCAAGTATCGATGTTTACTTCTATATTATGCTCTACATAGAATGTGAAATATTGCAATACTTAACGAAATATAATTTGGGAGCCGAAGTGTTGCAACAATGGTCAAGGTTAAATATTGAACTGCTTCAGTCACTGGATTCGTCAGAAATCCTAATTTTAAAGGTCACGACTAGCGAAGTTAAAACTTAAACTCCCAATATTCAAATTAATATTGCATTATATGTGAAAGCATTTTATTTTCAAATTTATAAACTAAATTCCATAATTGATTATGAAGTTATACAACCATCTTACGTTCAAATATTTGATTGTTGCTACTGTTGTACACCCTCTATTACAATTGAAGTCTGTTTGTTTATTACGCACTGGAGTAGAAATGCCGTCAACGAATATGGCAGCCATTTAAAGACCGGGCTCCGTCAGTTTGCCCCGAAATCTAAGTGAATAGTCAATTAGCATGCATTTTCTAGTAGCGATTGAAATGATTAAATGATTGGTTCCGACATTACAATTGTTTTGATTCTATGTATTTTATGGGTTTGTATTTGATGATTCAAAATGTACATGTTCACTGTGACGTTCCTCAAGTTTTATATGTACTTTTGTACTGTAGTTTACCTGGATGGTATAGACAACACAATAAACTTCGTGAAGACTACGAAATTACCGCTATTATCATTCTGAGTAACGAATTGAGGGTAGCGCCCTTAACATTGATAGTAATGTGAAGTCACATATTTAGTGTAGTTTGTCAGATCAATTCATCATACATTACATGGCCGCGTTAAGTGATTTCATTCAACAATGACCTGCCTTAATTTGGAAAATGATTAGAATATATCACTGGCCTGTGGCGCCATAAGTGTCAGTAATATGTTTTACCCCTGACGGGAGTCATATATAATCTTGATGAGCTGAGGTATCAAATCACCTCATATTTAAAAAACTTGATCTATTACCAAATGGGCAACTCTACTCACTTAATAAGGTGAACATTCGTCTTGTATTGATAACCGACATATTCCTCCTTCTCACAATGACTTGCGATAACCAACCAAAGAACATCATGAATGCCCAAACACAGAATGCCGTCAAGGAAGACAACATTCCATTCTAATGGCAAAATATAAATAATAAAATGTGAATAAATATAAACACAATATTTACCTGAAATATTTATGATATAACACAGCTTGCTAACATGAATCAATCAACTAGCTTACTAGCCAACTGACCGAACGAGCGAACCAATCAATCAATCAATCACTGAAACATATATTCAATCAATAAGATATATATAGAATCAGTGTTATATATGATGATGTAATTGATAAACAGTCCTACTGTATTTATGTCAACACCGTACATTGTATGTAAGATGGTTGGCAGAGATAGAAGCAACAATATCAAGTAACAGTTTTGACAAAACTTAGCGACGGCTTGTCCCCACACTTGCTTTGATGTCAATATAGATTTCCACGGAATATTTCGTTGCTGAAATAAATCGAAATGTCACCAATGAAATATGTAAATCAATAATTTGTCTAATCGTACAAAGCAATTTTAACCAATTGATATTATCTTTTACCTGTTTCATACATGTTATGGCATTTGATTGTTTAATGTATCGTCTTTCAGTTTCTGAGATTCGAGGGTGGTCATCGGGTGACTCAAACACCAACCACAACCACATAAAACTTAGTAGCAGACTTGCACACCCTGCGAGTTTTGAAAAACACACAGTTATTTCGTTTACCAGGGACATGCGTATATAGTCTTTGAGAGTTAGGTTCAAATTAATATATAATGTTATTGTAGCCATTATTCCGTTAAAGCACTCATATATATTTCGAATAATTGAATATGTTCTTCATATTCGACATGTTTCCTATCCACACATGTATTAACATTATGTTTATCGTTTATATGTATGTGCTCAATGTTATGTATGTGCTTGTAGTTTGCCTGTACTATATCAACAGTAATAATATTGAAATAGTCACATGTACAACAAAGGGAATCAAGAAAATTATATTTACCGAATAAGTAAAAACTACATTCCCAGCCAACTGTGGCGCTCAGTAAACCAGAAATCCAAAACGACAATACACTTCCCATATGACTACCTAGTTGTCGAATGAAATTGAGTTTATTGCTTATCTAATAACTTAGGAAAACAATCAGAAATGATAAAGTCCTATGAAGCAGTACATACAGAAATAAAGAATGACACATTGCCCATTACTGCATGATAACAGGTAATGACCTCACCTGTATCTCGGTTATGTTTGGGTCGATCATGTTCAAACTTCAAACATAGGTTTTGCACATCTTTATACATATGCAGGTTTATTAATTTTCAAGATGACTGAATAGCGGCCATTTTATTATCAACAAATCATCAAATACAAATATTTCTGTCACTTCGAACCAGATATCGTATTTCGTTCAATTTTTCCAATGTACATTGAACTACAAAGAATTTCGATGTATGTCATTTTGTTAAGTTAAAATAGCCAAATGAAGGCCATTTTTCAAATGAATGCTATTCGCGACCCCCTTCAAGCTTCCTATATTGACCATATATGATACAGATCTAATTGTGGTCGTTTCATGATCCAATACAAAATTGAGTTTTTGATATTTTGTTGAAAACATCCAAATCAAGTGAACGTTTCTGCTTTTTCAGAAACTTAGGAGCTGCCGATCTTGTAAAGACATATTTCATTTACACTTAGGAAATATTTGTGCATTGCAGGTCCATAAAGCGTAACACACTGTTTTGCAGATCGGTTTCAAAATATCCAACTAGAAAGATGCTTTGAGACTATTAACCGACCTTCATTTTCTTTAGTGCTAAAAATCACCAGAATCAAATACTGCTGCCATTCCGGAAATAGATTTCAGTCGTGCGTGAACAAATTTTGTCTAAACTTCATTGAGAGTATCGGTAATTTGGGCATATCATATTATATAGTTTTTATTCATGTTGGTTTTTGTGGTCGAATGGTGGCCATTTATATTTAACGAAAGTTGATCCAGAAACCTGTCTTCTTTATCATGGGACATATTTACACATGTTGTCCTATATGTACATACATTGGAAACAAAAGGCAACTGCGTCATATCTTGTCTCCATTCGATTCAAATAGCCCAGAAATTGCAAATACATTGCATGCTGTGAATAAATACCTCGTTATGTTTTCGATATGTCATGAAAATATGTGTGTAAATAAAAACATTGTAGTTCTGTTTGACTGTATTATATGAATAAATCATTGATGATTTCACCCCTCGCCGAAAGCAGTAAGTCGTTTACAAAAATATAACGTTTTCTATTCTAGAACAATTTTCCAAGGTAGCACTGTTATTAAGTAAAATTATGTGAGTTTACTGAAAACAATGAATATACCAAATCTTAAAACATGTAATGAATCACACTATACCTGATGTCGCAAACGACAAAAGTTTACTCCTTTCTTCTGCAGGTGACCAGCTTTCCCACATAGAGTAAATAACTAAATTCGTGAACTGTAATATCAAGTACGCCATTATGAATAATATGAGAAACGTGATTTACGTGACCGAGCCATGTTACGGTTCTTGACATAATTTCACATAACTATGAAAAGATCAAATTCATTCAAACTTGAGAACTGCTCAGCAGCCCGTTATTAGAATTGTTCAATTTTTTTTGGTAAACATAAATATTTAAAAAACATGTTCTGGTGATATTTAAACGAAAAAAAAAAATGATACAAAATCGTTGTGACAGTGTTATATCATTTTCTGTTTAACATTTAACAAACAACAAGTGTATACGTTTCAATATTTTCACTGTACTCATTTGAGCCTTTAAAAAGGGATTTATTTACGTCACGTTACCACATAGGGTTTGTATCTAACGTAACAATGATTTTAGTTATTGTCTTTTTATCATTTGTTCGGAATTATGATAAATATCGTCTTGGGGCATCTCGTTTGTTGTAAATTTATGACTAGAGATCGATAATATAACCGTGAGATATGAGTTACAAGATGACCACATACCTGTAAAACACCAAGCATAAACTGGACTGCAAAGCACGCGCCGAATCCCAACCCTGCAGATGCCGGCGTCAGCATCGAGAGTAATCCAGAGATCAGCAGACTTATGAAGTTTATATAATACGGCCCTGTTATTCTCGTCAGCGATAAATATATAAATTGTGAACAAATGTGACCATATAAGTATGCAGAAAGAACGAGACCTTGTTGATAACTACTCCAATCAAATTCATCACCCTACAATTCAAAAGTAAACAAATCGTTGTACAATGAACACCAACTAACAATACTGTCACAAACATGTTGTATTTGGTGGACAAGATGTATTCTCAATGTGCGTGTGTCGTGTATCTTAGCTAACATCATATCACATGCATATAACTGGCTTGATGGTCTTACCTTTTGTTTTAAAATCTCTACTGTATTGTCATGAGTATTGCTATCAATATTGCACTGCATTCGTGTATCATTCACTGATTGTTCATTGGTAGTTGTTTTCACCATAGCAACTATGGTAATACTTAGGTTATATCTCAGTGCTCCTGTGTTTAATGACGAAAGGAATAAAAGCAGGCACAACACATGACGTGCTTCGAGCAGATCAGTAATCTGTGAATAAATAGTGAGTGAGTGAGTGTGTGAGTGAGTGTGTGAGTGAGTGTGTAAGATAGTGAGTGAGTGAGTGAGTGAGTGAGTGAGTGAGTGAGTGAGTGAGTGAGAAAGTGGGTTAGAGAGTGAGTGAGTGAATGAATGAATGAGTGACCAAATGACAAGCGACATGCGACAAGCCAAATTGTATGTTGTTATGTTGGTTATTTTACCTTCATATGTAATTTTCTGCTATGGTACGAATAGCCTCATCACGGATGCAAACCAAATAATTCCCCACACATTGTAGAGGAAATAATGCTGCATTCTGCTAGCTATTTTAGGCTTATTTTTATCGATGGGTAGAACTGTCTGAAGTTGATTAGTTAGAGTTTTGAAGGAGTTAAGGACTTATTGATGACAGATCAGGTGAGGAGCGAGAAACGAGTTGTCTATTATTATATATGAAAAATCACTAAAGTCAGTCTCTGCCTCAAACCCTGCAAATAGTAGTGTGCCTGGAATCATGTGCAGAAACGGTATGCATTGCCGTGTGATAACTGTCATAAAGTTGATTGACAGGTCATACTTGTTTACAACTCTATCTGAAAGGACAATTGGAATCTGCCAGGTGTGCGTGTGATTTACATAACAAAGTAAGTTTACTGTCTACTGACTTGCCTAGGTGTGACAGCTGCTAGCAAGACAACATTCTGATTTACTCATGTGGAAACCCAGGTGATTTACCTGAATCTGGGCCATTCATTCATTTATGCATATACATTGACTGCTCTGAGGACAGTTGGGGTCCACCATTTCAACTTATTACCATGTGTGCTGCTGCTGCAATATTGCAAGACAAGTGATATAGGCTTCGGCCATCATTCTGTAGACTGGTATGAACTGCTCTGCGATCTCCTGCTTTCAGCGGTGCCCTCCAGAATAACAGCGTTTCTCTGAAAGCAAGACTCCTGTATTTCTTCGTCGTTGTGTTGCAGAAGCCATCGGCTTTCATTAATTTCCACATCCTGGAACTTTGTGAGTTATCACCAATGCACACTTCATTAGACACTACCCTATTTCAGAGAATTTATTCATTGTATTATTCACTGCATTATTCTTGTATTTATTTTAAGAGGTTTAACTTGATATTTTAGTGTATGTGTATCTCATTTCCAGTACTATTGTCTTGTCTACCCCATTCTGGCAGTGAAAGAATCCCCTGTCCAGTTTGAGTTCTGTGGTTGCCCTTTCAATAGCAATAAGCAGGCCTTACACTGAGACATTCTGTCTTCTCTGTTTTAAAAAAAACATACAATTGTTCGCATAATTTAGCAAACACATTGAACGAACAACTTTTATATAATAATTGAATGTTGTATTTCTCTACGAATTATTTTCAAAATTCATCTGTTCAAAGTACTGAGATAAAAGTATCCAAATACCTCTTGCCGTTCAAATAAACGGTTTATATTCGAAGATAATTTGCAATTGGAAACTTTGAATTTTACTGTGATTTTCGAGGATTTTGTAATCAATATATATATAAGCAGAGGGAATTGTGCAAAGATGACCCGAAGACATGGGGAGATTTGGTACATCGCCAACCCGACTTTTAAATCATAACAAATGGTAATTATAGACGTCGAAGATACTAGAGACAGGAAATACAAATTGATCAATTCGGTAAGGGCTCATTAAGACTTGTTCCTATCCCTAATACTACCCTAACGTCCTGAATTATATACAGATGATCCTGCAAAACATGTGACCACAAGGAATTTGATATTTCATCAGGGAATGAATAGAAACAATATGATTGCAGTTTGTAGATTTGAAATTGTGTACTTTGTCTCTAAAAAAAGTTCATGGACTGTTTACTGTCGTTGGAGATGTGACTTTGATCTTGAATGGTGAACGGAGAAACATCAGATGAATGATATTGGTGTCCACTGAGATCATAACAGTGTTATTAACAGTTTGTGCCGCTAGTGTTAATTCCTGTACAAATTCAGCTTCATGCAAAAAATCAACCAGAAACGTTTTGCATCTGTCTTGTTATTAACAAAGTGTTTTTAACGACTAGTACCATCATTATTTAGAAAAAATGCTCGATGAATAATGCTCCTAATGCGTACCCTGACTTTGTCATGCGTTATATATAGAACGTTGTCAGCATCCTTTATCCAGCGGTGCCCTCCAGAATAACAGCGTTCCTTTACAAGCAAGACTCCTGTATTTTCTTCGTTGTGGTGTTGCAAAAGCCATTGCCTGTCATCCATTTCTACATCCTGGAACTGTTAGTTAACATCAATGCACACTTCTTTAGGCAATCCCCTATTTTAATTACTTTATTCATTGTATTTTTCTGTGCTTTATTTCTTGTAATTATTTTGAGAGTTATTAAAGCCAGGTGCTTTAACTTGATATTTTAGTGTATGTGTATTTAATATCCAGTACTGTTGTATTGACTACCGCATGCTAGCAGTGAAATAACCCCCTGTCCAGTGTAAGTTATGTGGGTGCCTGCTCATTAGCAATAAGCAGGCCTTACAATGTGACAAACGTGTAAAAAAGAGTGTTAATTAAAGTCACATTTGAAGGTGATCAAAATCAATGTCAATATTTGATTTATAGCACTTACTGACAGTATTTTGAATATATAAAGAAATATATTATTTGTTGTGGTAATACGATTTTGAAGTCTATATGTAAATTCATACGTGATCCGATTATGTACCGAACGATTGTTTATAATCTTTTTTTTTTATAATTGCTTTTAAAAAATGCCTGTACAATGGTCTTTGGCGGGTATCCTGGAAGCAAAACAACGTAGTCAAAGTCAATGTACATGCATATTCATCACATATTTTAATGTATCATGTACTTACCACATTACTACTGCAGTGTCTTGGTGATTTCATTCTGTTCGATATCTTGAATGCTAAATGCTATGAAGATACAGATATGTTTAAAATCACTCCAGGACAGCAGCTTTGGGGTGTAAATTAAATGGTATCTAGTAATCAAATACACATTCACTAGGCTCAATATTCTAACTTGTATTAATCAAAACTTTATCACAAAGCTGGGAATCCTTAGGTGGAACAGGCGTGCATAACGTATATCACAATCATTCTCAAACTTATTGTACCTAGTTCACACTAACATGAGAAATATGTATAGAAATTGCATGCATTGAGGCCGCTGATTAGTAGAAAAACGCCATTGTCCATTCTATGACAAAGCGGCGATGTCTACATAAACTATTGTGTGATGATTCACGTGGCTAATTTTCCCTGCAAGTGTTGTGTGCCTACGTGCAACTGTAGGGCTGGTATTCGTCGCAAGACAACCATGCTAAACTGCCTTGTTACTAGTCGACGTCTACGATAATTACAATGGGTGAGTCGTTGAAAGACTGAAGAACACCCAGAGTTGACATAGCACAAACAAACAAACAAACAAATAAATAAATAAATAAATAAATAAATAAATAAATAAATAAATAAATAAATAAATAAATAAATCCTATTAGGGGTGGAGGGTTTATTGTAACGAAGTTCTCTATAATTAAATATACCATTATTGCGACCGCTATTTAGTAAATTAGTTGTCAGCCATCATAGATCTTTTGTCATTGTTATGTCGTGGTTCGAATGCCCCAGTTTGCTATGGATATTTGTAAATGTATTTACGCATTCATTTTTCATGTGACAGAACTTTTTATTCTTACTTAAGTTAGGGAGGTGTTTTTGATATTTACGTAAGGGCCAATGACCCGGAGTTAATGTTTCACGAAGATTTCAGGAAAATATTAGACTACTCACTCACTCACTACCGGAAACTAAAATTATTATTGTTCAATCAACGCGGATAACATTCAACTACAACTACAACTACAACGTCAAAGATAAAGTACAGACAAATCCCATTGTTCAGCCATGTCGTCCAGAAAGAGAACAGTCAAGAAAGAATACGAACATTGTAAAGTAAGAGTTCCACATTGTTATTTTGAGATGTCACATTTAATGTTTATTGTAGACAAGAATTTCATTGTGATTGGACAAATATTATGTTTGAATTATAATATAAGTATGTTTAATACATTTGCTTCTTTGTTGCGTAAACCATCTAGGATGAAAGTACGGTTTTCAGTATTTATACTTTTTGACACAAATATATAGCAAAATAAAACCAATTCAAATGTGCTAATTTGTCTCATTCTGAGTACTTGCAGACATTATTCGATGTTTCAGATCTTGAATGACTGAATGTGATGGAATTATAATTTGATTCAGCGAATATTTGTGGGCCATACATGATTAAATTAATATTAAACATATGCCCGCCAACGTCGCCATATAATGTTTGTTCAAGACATACATTCCTATCGACATTTTCTGAGTACGCTTACATTTACTGCGCACATAATTGTACAGTCATATGCAGCCAATATTTATCTTATCGTTCAAACTGAAATAGCAATTGAGGTAAGGTTGAAACAATTTAACCCGACCACAGAAATCTAAGTTGTATTTAGAACAGTCTGTATTGTTACAAAAATACATACATTTCACTTTACACATTCTTCATTTTCTCTGTATCTTATTAAAATTTATACACCTACCTCAGTTTTGTTTCCAATGTCTGCACACAGAAACGAAACTGTCTTGATGACCTTCACGCGATGCATTATACTGTAAAGATTAAAATGGGCAATACGATTCGACTTTCTATAAATAACAGTAATACATTTAAAAATATACCACGTGAAGGAAATATCACTGGCTGGGACAATGATATGGTGGCCGACAATAACATATGATGAACCCTAAAGTGCAAAATAAAAGTTAATATATTCAAATCTTTTAAAAAATGATATACCTACCTAGATATATATTGTCGTCCGAAGC